GAGAGAGAGAGAGAGAGAGTAATATGCATGACAGAGAGAGACTGTGTGCGAGAGATGATTTCTAGAGGAGAGAGAGAGAGAGGTCCTACAGTTTTCTAGAGAGAGAGAGATGACTTAGAGGCAAAGATGACTAAGGTAACAGTGGTTTTCTAGCAAGGCGGTGTGACTTCAAAGTTCAAACACCAATAGTGACCCAAATTTGAGGGCTCTAACTTTTCTAATTGAAGTATATTTCAAAGCATTGACCCTTATATACTATTAATTCAAATTTAAAAAAAAAACTAAATTCCTACTTCCTAGTAAGTACACATCACCAACCAACCCTTGTGATTAACCCACTTTAATTTATCAGTGTTCTATAATTGGTCAATAAAGCAATGGATTTATTAACCCAATTTAAGTCATCATCATTTTTTAATTGGTCAATTAAACAATTAGTTCATTAAACCAGCTTAATTTATTATTATTATTTAGTTGGTCAATTATGGAATAAGTTTGAAAACAAACACTAGATTTCGGCAGCAAACCGCCATTTACTTATTTTTCTTCTCCTCTTGTTTTTTTCCTTGGAGGGAAATGAGGAAGACCCTAGTTAAAATACGGTTATTCCATTAATTATAGGGAATCATCGATATTGTTTATGTTATTAAAAATATTGTATATCTTTAACAGTATGTGATAAATGTATTCTTATAGATAAAAATGTCAGTGCATTTTTGTTTGTTTATGTGGAAAAATACAAATGAGGGTATTATTATGAGTGATTCATAACTAAATGAAATGTCTGAATTTTTGGTCAATAATGGATAGAAATTTCGTTGGTACTTCTGTATCGACTTGTTTTTTTGTTTTTTCTCTTGTCTTAGCCTCTCAGGATAGTACCCCTTAAAACCCTGTACTTTTTCTAGGAGAAAGTTACAAGTATTTTTACTCTCAAACATGAAATCAGGCTAGGGCTTGTACTATTGATTAATGCTTAAAGTGTGGAAATTTTTCTCAAACATGGTTTAGAGAAATGATATATTCTTAATTGTCCGATTTCACAACTAAGGTGTTGGCGGTTATAGCAACAAGACAGAGTTTCATATTTTGTGAGATTACAAGATATTGAGTTTCGTATTTTGAGGATTACACTTGTAATGAGATTTGTACTAAAACAAAATTATAATTCTATAAATATATGGTAAACCTCATAAATCTTATGAATGAGAAACTGGTCAACTCCGTCATTGCCGAACAACGCATATGCCTTGTCGATCAATTTCTTTCTCTCTTTTATCTATTTATTTTATTGTAATTCTACATAAGGACTAGGTTTAATTGTAATCTTCTTGTACCAAAATAGAAACTGGGTTTATTATACATTCCATTTTTTCTAAAACATATTTGGAAAATTCGGATGTGATCTAGTGTGGCTTCCCTAAGATTGATTAGATGTTCAAGCTTGATTAGTGGATGACATCCTAAGAGCTGAGTATATATACCAGGAGCACTCTATACATTTACTCCGTCTAGAGAACGACTTACTTAAAAGAACTTCTTGATCTAAACTTTTGAGATCCACCTTAAAATCACTAGATAAATATTCTAAATAAAAAATTATTCCTAAATACTCAGTGCATATACATTACATTTTATTTTATTTTATTTTATTCTAAAATTAGTCGTTAGGATGAAAAGGTTACATCCTCAAAATTTGAGGTAAATATGGGGTCCTAAAAATTATCCTCCTAGTTAAGATTTACTGGAGAGAGTCAATGCATGATAGCACATATTCTTCTGGCTTTAAAAATAAAAGCATTGATTGGTGAGGTTGGCCATCGCAGGCCGGCTGTCTTTTAGTTCTTACCATTGGATTTTTATGGATCGGACGATTAGGAATCTAAAAAGATCTTGACCATTAGAGCATTATTTTTTCATGTGTACACAGCAGACCCAGAGAGAGGAGACTTGTGCCTAGTTCGAAGCTCATGTGTACACAGGAGACCCAGAGAGACGAGACTTGTGCCTAGTTCGAAATACAGATTGTGTGTATGTGTGTTTTGTGCAATCAAGAGAGAGAGAGAGAGAGTGTGTATGTTTTGTACGTGAGAGAGAAAGAGAGATCTTTGCACGATCAAGAGAAGTGTGCTATGCCAAACTAGATCGAGATTGAGATCGAGATCGAGGGCGAGAGGGAGAGAGAAAGATCTGAAATACGATCGAGAAAGAAGTGTGCTCTGCGAGAGAGAGAGAGAGATCTGAAATACAACCGAGAGAGGCGTGCTTTGCACGATCAAGATGGAGGTCAAGAGAGTTTTGTGCCTCTAAATTGAGAGAGAGAAAGAGCTTGGTGACTTTACATTTGAGTTTTTTTTTTTTTTGGTAATTCAGTGGGGAAGACACGTCCTTACCCATTTTTTCAACTATGGGGGTCAAGAGAGTTTTGTGCCTCTAATTTGAAATAGAGAAGTTTTTTTTTTTTGGTAATTCAGTGGGTAGAGTTTTTTTTTTTTTGGTAATTCAATAAGGAAGACAAACCCTTATCCATTTTCTCAAATAGTTAGTATTTTAATGAGGGGTGTCGGTGAGAAAGGAAACACCATGATAATCAAACTGTGGGAGTACTACTACCACGACCCCACCTTTCCTCATAGAAAGAGATAATTGTGCATCAAATTAGAAAGGACATGAGAGAGAGGAACGTGGGGGTGAAAAAGATGGTGTCACATACCTTAAACCTAATCACCTTACAAAGGAAAAAGTTTATGTACGAATAAAGTTTATGTACGAATACGACAAAAATAAAGATTTTGAATCCCATAAATAATGCTGCATCTTACATCGCATTATCTAAACATTTCATTTTCAAGATTTTCATATGTTTATAAATCTACTTTATTTTAATTATTTTTGGAGTTTAAAATCTTATAATTGAATATGAAAATTAAATTTTTCAGATAATCCTAAGAATTTTTACACCGAAATTACATATGATAAAATTGCTTGAGTGCCCTTATTGGATTGTTTAAGGTTAAAACCTTATAGAAACCACACTCACAAATCAAATAGACAAGCTTAGAGTCAATATCAGAAGGGATATTGATTTAAATAATTTTTGAACGACGTGACCATTTCTAAAGGGTCCAAGCCTGGTCATACCTCAAACCAGTGCTCAAAAAATTGTCGGCCAATTCAGAAATCGATCAAGTTAGGCCTATTGGAAGAAAGGCGATGTTGGGGCAGAAAACCCCGGAATCATCTAATTCTCTCATTTCTTTTAGGAATACTTGGAATTTTTATTGTTACAATTGCCTAGTCCAACTCATGCTCGCCTGAGTTGGACTGGGCACACTCAGGCCTTAGCGAGTTAGTGCTCGAGCCCAGCTTTTTAAACACCGCACAAAAATCGGCACAACCCTTGAATAGGGAAAGAGAAATCAAGTCACTCGGTGCAACCTTTGAAAAAGATTTAGAAGCCTTCAAGCTCGCTCTCTCACTCTCCCACTTACACTTCATCATTTGCAACATGTAAACCCCATGATCTTTCAAGGCATGGATCTAAAAACCCATAATTTCATATGAAACAATCATCAAAAACTATAAAAGGGGAGCAAAAAGGCTCAGAATTCCAAAGTATCTGCCACCACCCAAGAAGCCTAAGTCTTCAAATTTTTGGTCAAGTCTGTGCTATAGTTGAAAATCATTGCACCAAGCACATGGTGAAACAAGTGAGAGAAACAATGCAATGAAAGAAACTTCATGTGAAGCTCCCATGGTATATCTTGAAAGAAAGAGTATCAAATTGCAGAATAGGTAAATCACTAGAGCTTCCATGATCTCTCCAGGAAAGAGAACTTCGGAAGCCAGAAGGACAAGAAAAAAAAGTTCAGGACAAATCATAACGATATGGTGATTAGAAAAAACAAAAAGCTGTGACACAATTCCGCAATGGGCATGTAAAATGAAGTACAATGAGATAATGAGCAGAGACTATGTTCTTTCAAAATGAGAATGAGATAGAAACAAGCGAGTGCCATCATATTGCAACAGTTAGCCTCTAAGAGGACTTAGCACCACTTGAATCTTGACCTTGCTGAAAGGCTTCAGGTGAGCTTTTCCTTTTAGAATATGTGAACGATGTCGTAGGCAAATCTGGAATTTGTCAAGGACTACAACAGGAAGAAATAAAAAAGAAGAATGACATCATCTCTCTCTCTCTCTCTCTACACGTGCGTGTCAAGAGAGAGAGAGAGAGCACTTTATATATTTTTTCCCAAAATAAATGCAGTGACATGCAATTGCATTCAAAGGATACGTCCAGAACAGCACGAATGACTGCAACACATGAAAATAGAGGCATCAGACCAGTATAGACATAAATTACCATAACCATGCAATCATTAACTATTCCAAGAAATGATGTCAGAGTGAAATGGTTCAACCCCGTTATGTTAAATGGTTTACCCCGTTCATATATTTATCTTCAAAGAAATGACAGGAAGCACACTGTAATCCCATGGATTGCAATGTCCAATAGTCCATTAGGGCCATCAATGTTGAATAAAACGATGGACAGTGATAGAGGCAAGACCTACCAGATCTGATGACATGTTCCATGCTCTCCATCACCATCCATCATTTATGGGATGGTGGGGAACCCATAGGATTTTGATTTTCCATAGCCCACTGAATTATACTGCACTTTCCCAAAAAGATAAAAGCACATGTAGAATCTCTCTTAGAACGAAGTCATCCCAGAAAAATTGCACTAGAAACCAGTACCATCATTATAAATCTGTTTTGAGGGAAAAATATTAAAGCTAAACGGCTAGCTTGCTGCTTTTCTTGATAATGTTTTTTACCTCTTAATTGTGATTAACACTGTTGTGTTACAGTTACATGCAGTGTTTTAAAACCTGCCAAGTCTGACTTGGACTCAGTTGAGTCCTCGGACCTGGCACCCTGCCGGTCCGACTAAGAAACCTTGGGAACTGGCCGATTGTTACTGGTACCCATGGTTTCTTTGCTATTTTTTCTTAAGACATTTGAGTCTGAATCAGACCGGGCCAAATAACCCCGCTTGACTCAAGCTCAGGGCTCTAGCAAGTCCCAAAAGAAATCCAGGTTTTAAAACACTGCACACATGCATGCAAACGACATATAAACCATAAGATTTTGTCCAACATGATTTATCACACAGGTATGCCACCAATAGTTAGAAATTATGATTTAATAAATATTTTGATACATATACAATGTAAGTCTGACTGAGAGTATGGCTCTTGATAGAACGGAACAAGATTCATGTAAACGAATCCAAATCGTTGGGATAAGGCTCGGATGACGATGATAATGATGATACACATACCATGTAAACTAGCTCAAAAGCAGTCTATATAGCTAAGACAAGGACAAAGGCAAAGTCCAGTACAGTCCACTGGGGTCATAACTGTCCAACAGAAAGATGAAGAGTGATGGAGAGGAGCAAGACCCATCATTAGGGTCATGTCTGTCCTGATGCTCTCATTCTCTCGCCATCACTTTCCATCATGACTCCAATGGCCTCTGGATTTCTGTAGTTCAATGGACTAACATTGTACTTCCCCTCAAATACTAAGAGAAAATGCAATCAATTTAGAAAAGAAAATATTTTTCTTCAAACCCAATAAAAAAACTTATGCTCTGACAAATAAGATAACAATCATATACAATTGATGCCACGTATGCATGTTGGAAATAATGGGAATAAAAGCATACCATGAGCCCACCCAAGACAGCATCAAGCACAACTCGGTTCCATGAATCAAAGTACTCGTGAATTGAGAACCTTGCCTTGGCAGCAAGTCCCAATGAAGCCAATGCCATGATCAAGAAATATAACACAAATCCTTTAAGGCCCGTAAGCCCTAGTATTCCAGCTATCACACCACCAATGATTGACAAAAATGTACGGCTGCAAAATTATATATGAAAACAAACAAAAGACAAATCATACATAAAATATGCACTTCTTCTTTTGATTGGTCACTGTAATGAAGAACGATGAAATGGACAACTGGTACACTAGAAAGTGAACTCTGAGAATATGGTGCAGAAAAATATGAAAGATTGTACATTTATGAAACACTGTCTAAGTCCAACTAAAGAGCCATACAAAAACCCAACTAGAATGGATTAGTGCGTTCGAAGAATAAGGAAATTAATGCATACATAAGGTCTATTCTCCCATGCTCATCAAGAGGAAGAAACACACATAGTGGATAATGCAAACAGATCACTGATTTCTCTGCTCCAAAAATTTTATAAGTTTAATTCATGCACATCCATAAGATAAAAGTTTTCCTCCTAATCACCAAGGTGACATGCAAATTGGAGAGTTGTACTGTCACAGTTGTTTAAGACTGACCTGTAATAAATAACCTTCATGTTACTCTGCAGATTCTCTGCACTGAAACCTGGTAAATCATTGCTACCATCACTATGCTTCGTATCAGAGCTGGATGAATCATCATTATGCATTGCCATAGCAACCCTCCTTCCAACTTAACTATTATATCAAGTAGCACACTCCAGTTAATACTCGTTAAAATAATATAGGCAATTAAATTTTTAAAACTACATACAAGCAGTTACAAATGAATGTGATAATCAACAAGTTATTGACAAAAAGATGCACTACATTGAAGAACAAAAATAAGGTAGGTCTTAAAAAACCCTTCATAGATATCCAACAAAATAGTTATGTTAATGAGTAGCATTTTTACAAAGTAAAGCATCGATAAACAACAAATATATTGCCAAAACTCATTCTATGGTTAAATGCCAGTTAAGAGACCAGTAGTAGGTGAATATTTAGTCAAGCAAATGTTACAGAATAAACTAAAAGTTAAGGTAGCCCCCAATTATGGACTCTTCAAAGATGTCGGAAGAAGAGTACATAAATGGGCATTCTGAATAAATTCCTAGTTTCAAATGCAAAAGAGGACTACTTGAAATTTGAAGGATGCCACCATTGATGATAACTGCGACCTAGTTACGAAACCATCAGGTATTTTCCACTCTATTGTACCCTCAACAATATCTAGGCCCTTTTTGATAAATTTTTTGCAGTTTCAGTAGGAATATCTGAGAATCTCAGGGATTCTGGAAATGTATGGAAAATTGGTGCAAAAAGTTTTCCCTGTTTGTTAACCTGTCTGGAAAACTAGAACAGTCAGCTTCCCCAGTTTGTCTAACTTAGTAAGAGAAAACTGCCTGTTTTAGTCGCCCATTGCATGATTCACCAATAAATCATTAAAAATATAGCTTTTCGAAAGAGGTATTTTAGTTATAGCTCATCCATTTTTTTTTTAATATAAAAGGTTTGGATTGTAAATTAGTTTTCCAATTAATTTGTTGCTCTCTCTCTCTATGGTATTTTTTTGTCAGTGGGCTTCTTTTTGTATACCTGCAAACGTTACTCTATGAAGTATTAATCTTGAAAGGAACTACAAAAGGGAGATAGTGATAAAGAGAGACAAAAAGGAGTCACAGTACATAAGCTACACCAGGACCACACAAGATGGAATACATCTCTAACAAGATCGATATCTCATATAGGCAGCCCACATTTGTGTTGTAATGGTCTCCTTGATTTGCACCACATAATGATGGTATGCCCTACTTTAAGGATGAAGCTCCTCAATTTCTACTTCTTCAGAATCTTCATGTCCTATATCTTCATCTGATCTTGCAACTCTTAGCCTTCTCTTAACTCTTCTTATCACCTCCTCCTAAAAATTAAGTTCCTCTTGGGAGCTTTGCACTCTCATTATGCAATAAGGATGTAGTATATACAATCTTGACTTGTGCACCACATAGATATTGGAATTGCTTCTCCAATATAGGAAACTGATATTCGAAACCAAATCCTATACAGGGTGGAGAATGCGTGCCAAGACTATTTTTCCAAATTTTAATGAAGGTGAAACATTTAGCATAATGTACTCTCAAATTTATAAGCTTCAGGCACATTGGAGCACATTGGCTGACTTGCCCCTCTTTGAAGAGAAAATATTAGGACCAAATGATAGGTAATAATTCTCCCATGACACAACCAAACACATTCAAATTGATTACCTATTCTTTGTAATTATTGACAACTTGAAAAATAAAAACGAAGCTTCTTAAAAAAAATTGAAATATCACAAAAATCACTTTAGAAAAATAACAAAACCCTCCAAAACAGCTTCTATAGAAGTTAATATTAGAACATATATCCCCATCTCCAAAAAAGGATAAAAACCTAGACGTACTAGTTCTAGTATAAAATGTTACCCAGAGTTTTAAAACACAATAACCATAACAGAAATGCCTCTTATAACTCATCGAAATGTAGAAATACAGGGGAAAAAATAGTAAATATGATTGAGGAATGACAAAATTAAGTAAAATTAGAAAGCCATACTAGTTCCATACGGTAGTTACAAAAGAACAAACAAAATGGTTGGTACTCATCTAGTCCATGGAAGAAAAAAATGGGACATGAGAAAAAACAATAAAATATAGTCCAAATAACATTAAAAGAAACAAACTAAATTGCATACAATAATGTAACCAGTTTAAATTTTAAGACCCATGTAAACAACAATTCATGTGTTTTAGAAAAGGGAAAAGTTTATATAGAGCCGAGGCTCAAAACAATGAAATTTGAGCCTACCTCAAAACTTTCACTAGAAGACATTGTTTTGATGCCCAAATATCTTCAAATTGATCATCTCAACATCAAGATGCATGGACATGAGAAAAAAAAGGATTTCAAGTTGTGGAAATAGTGTATTTTGTAATGCATTTTTGGATCGTCAATTTTCAAGATTTTCAAGTTTTCATAAATCTGTTGATCTACACTATTTTTGAAGCTTTAAACTTTATACATAAATATGAAAATATATTTTAAGGCTATTACAAAGATTTCCAGTATTGAAACTACATTTCTTGACACCATTTGAAGGTAGGCTCTAATTTGATTGTTTAGAGCCTAGGCTCTATACAAACCGCACCCTTTAGAAAATGGTCAGCAAAAGAAAAAGATCAGCAAACATACATAACTCCACGCAAACCTCTATAAAAGAATAAAATGGGGGAAAATAAGAAAACCACAAAGCACTTTGATTAATCACAAAAAGAATGCAAAAATGGAAAATGAGTCCACATATGTAATTGTAAACGACTTAGCTTTTGAAACGCACAAGAATTCCTAAAAAGAATCACAAAACATGACAGAGGAACAGTTAACAGACAAACAAAACTCTATGTAGTCCAGTATGAAAACCAAAAAAATTTGTCAGAAAAAAAAATGTGGGAAAGAAAAGAATGTCATACCTTATGAAACAATCTGCACTATGTGAAAATTTTCTCACATGGATTAATGAAAGGAAAGCTGATCAATGACAAAGGGAAACAGGGGAGAAAAGTGCAATCCCAGTAGCCGATATTTATGGTCGTAAATACAAGGTTTTTGCGCTGTGATGTGGTTTCTAATGTGCTAAGACGTAAGTTGTTTTGTTCTCATTAAGCGAACTTTCTGTCAGGGAAAAAAACAAAAAAAAAAATGCAAAATCATAATCAAATGACATTTTAGCAGTCAAGTATACTGGAAATGAGAAGGAATCTCCAAATTTTGGGTGTCTCTGAAATTCTCAATTAGTCGAGTTGGAACAAATGAGGAAGGTCCAACTTATTGGCTGCCAATTAAAATTGGAAATCTCTAGAACATTAGGTTTTCCATAGGATTAACAGACAAATTACAGTAGATAACAAAAATGAAAAAAGAGGGTTACATGAAATAGAACAAGACATTCTTCAAAACTGACCTCTACAAAAACCAGCTGGGAGAGGGATCCTAGCTCGCTGGATTATTCAGATGTGTGAAGAGAGCACCTAAACCACGATTGACCATGAGAGAGAATGAGAGAGCAGGGGATGAGACCTCGAAGGTAACAAAAGGGAGAGCGAAAGGGGGTTTTTTGGAGAGAGGTGGTGGAAGAGAGGGACAGAAGTGGAAACGTTCGGGTGGTTGCTGAATGAGAGAGAAAGAGCTATGATTTTAGCAGGGGATGGTGTTTGTTAAGAGAGATGGCTGGGGTAATAGAGACGGGGATGGTTAGGGCTTCGCAGACCAAGAGAAGAGTGATAAAGAGCGGGGAGTTAAAATTTTTCCCCTCTTTCAGGAAAGTCACAGACCACCCTGCGGGCTAGGCCACGGCTTTCACCGTCTCTTCCCCATGATGGGGAAAGCTGTGGAAAATCTTTGGGGCTGCTTTCACTCAAACAAATGGATGAAAGCAGCTAAATTGTGAAAAGGGGAAAGAGTTCTTCACTTTCCCCGCCTTTTCATGGTTATCAAACGCAGCCCTATGGAATCGAATTTGTCAAGACTAATGTAAAAGAGCACCTACTGATCAAATCTGAAGCCTTTTGGCAACAAAATCATGAAATCCTGGGAAGCCATGTACTTCTAGGCTCGATATAGATAAAGAATAACAAAAGAAACAAAAGGAAAGAGTAAGGAGAAATAAGTTTATTAGTCAGGTTAAATATTCCATGGATAACTCACATCGACAAAGGGTAGAAAGAGAGGAAATCCCAGAAAAAGCTCACTCAAAAAATTGGAAGAAGGGACAGACAGAAATAGAGCTGCTACATAGCTGGTCAATCCTAAGCTTCGTACCTTACTTCTATCTCACTCTCTTCTCCAAACAACTATAACTCAAACAACATATATAGGAACCCCTGTAAAGGAAAACGAAACCCATTACATGTAAATCCAATGGAAACAAGTGAAGTAATAATGTAGAACCAGCTCTACCTGGTATATTGTAGATACTGGCCTGAAATTGTCTGATCGTTGGATATACTGTGTTGGCATGATTCTGGGGTTCATTCGGTTAAACACATTTGGGTGCAAATTCATTATGATTTGGACATGTCTTTGATTTGGATTTTGGACACACATTTTTTATCTTTCTCAGTTAAAATTTATTCTTATAAACTGAAAAGTAAATTTTATAAGTATATATAGACATGTATTAACGGTGTGGATGTGTCATGCACGACTAAGCAAAATATAGGTAGGTGAATCAGTTTCTTCAAATCTGAGACAGACACAGATTCTTGCGTCAATGTCCCTATACATGGGAAAAAACTCAATACAATTGAAATCAAGAGCATTTACAGCCCAAAATACTCTAAGAGTAGAAGATGATTAGTTTTAGTCTTTTAGATAATGGGTAGTTTAATACTATACTCGCATGAGGTAGAAGAAAGCAATTCTAGTTTCAGTGATATACATCAATAACTATCGAAACAATGGGCATGCAAATTCATAATCCGCCAAACAACACCGGCAACATGCCTCAATAAACTCGCGACACAAATACACAAATGAACAATGCAAGCATGTCTTCTCTTGCAAATGATATGAAAAAAGAAGACCCAATTAAATATATCAAAATAAACTTCATAATACCAATTAATAATCCCATCTCACCAAGCACTTTTCCACATAAATTTCAAAAACAGAATAAAAATGATCAGACAAATTCCACCATTAACATAATGCTATATTCTATTGATATTAAAAAGAGAAAAGAAAAAAAATCTCCTATCTTAATTTCAACTAGAGGAATAGGGCAGAGCTAAACACAAAAAATTAACCCCAACTGCCACATTGGCACTTGCATAGCCAGCATGTCACTGAAAATAACAATAAAGTTACGAAAACCAAAAACACTTATCTGTAATTTGGACAAGTAGCACAGTTTGCTCTCACAATTAACTAAATGTGCATCAGCTCAAAAAAGAATAAATAAATAAATAAATGATCCCCAATTGTAACAGCGGTCTCTATAAGAACTAGGGTTTCAATTTCAAGTTGCAGATCAATACATTCAAGATCCAGTTGTTCAATAAAAAGAGAGAATCGAGAATTGAAAACCAAAATTCAGCATGGGCAAATTTAAATAAACAAAGTCAAGCTGGATACTCCACTTAAATATGGAAATGGAAACTTCATGATCAAATCAATATATTCAATAAAAAAGAGAAATAAATTACAGCAAGAAAAATCAAACTCGAAAAACTCACCTCAAAGGAAAAAGAAACAGGAATAAACCAATTACTACACAGATCAGAGAGAGTGACAAAGATTTATAAGCGCGGGAAGTGCGAACTTGTAAGCTTCAAGAGAGAGAAGATGGTATCATGTAGAGAGAGAAAATAATAGGATGAAAGAGAGACTACAGGCGGTCGGGCGAGCGCGCACGCGAGAGAGGAGGCGGGGGGAGCAGGATCACAAAGAATGAGACATGGGGGAAAGGGCGAGAAAGTATAAGATTTGAAGCACTATAGTATGATCCCATGGCCGTGGTGCAATTATAATCAGGTGGGTTAATCACCGTCTGATGACAATCATTAAGATCAGGCTGAACCAGTAGTCCGATGGGTTAGACCACTACCGGTTGTCTTTGGCCAATTTGGTCCTAAGCAAAAATTGGATTCGATAAAAAACCAAGTAAAATTAATGTTTGACTAGTTTTAGCTTATCGGACATCTGATTTTGGTTCGTCAAAGGAATAGGTTTTATCGTATTCAATCAGATAAATAAAGTTGCACATAATTTTTTAATATATTTTATATTTTTCAACTTGTTCATTTTTTTTTTGGGTCTCAATGAGGCTATAGCCCTTCATACAATAGAATGTTAAACCAAGATTCCTGTAGCCAATTCGAAATAGTTGAGAAAATATTATGATAATGATGATGATCTATTTTTCTTTTTTCTTTTTTTTTTTGAAATCCAATTCAACTAATTTCACTAGTAATTTGACTCATTTTGACTTGTAACGAGTTACGTTCAAGTCCGGATCTAGTTTCGAAAAAAAATATTATGGGACTTGGACCCGTTCAAACCTAATTGAAAAAATAAAAAATACACTTAAATATTATGTTAAATATGTAGATGTATTGTTTAAATATTATACCTAAAAATATATAGTTATATTTATTTAAATATTATTAATATAGATGTATTATTTAAATATTATAACAAAAAATATATAGTTATATTTATTTAAATATTATATATTAAATATTATTTATATAATAACACTATTCGAGTCTAGGTCTAGGTCTAAGTCAGGTCCACATGGACCCGAACCTAAATCTAGTACCAATGTCTGGTCTTGGGTCGGGTCCAGATCCAAGTCCATTACCACCCCTATTCAGCCAAGTCAAGCCAACTCAACAAACTTTGTATACACTACTAATTCGTATGGGGCGTCAACTTCAAACAATCACGGCTTTGGTGACGAAAAACTTTTAATGCCCTAATCGCTAATACTAAAATATAAGCTTTAAAAATGGTACAGATCGTGTAAATCTCTAAATACTTGAAAATCTTGAAAATAGATGTTCCAAGTATACGCTGCAAATGTGCATTATTTTTAAGATTTAAAATTAATTGTTTTTTCATATCTATAAATCTCGAGGTCAAGATTATCAATTGAAAGGTTTTGCATTATCAAACCAATATATTTTGGTGGCTTTTTAGGGTATTGTCTTACTTTTACTGCATAAGGTTGACACCTTTTATAAAACCACACTTCTAGATGACCATATTTACGGTATTTGTATGATCCAAAATTTAGCACACACATTCTCCTTGTCTCAATAATTAATCTAAAAAAAAACTAACTAGCATCCTATGTATGGTCTAAATAAGTCCCCTCCTACAATAAATCTAGACGGCCCATTTGATGAATTTCAAGATCTAGGCTTCTATAAATTCAAAATCATTTTTTTATTTTTTAATATTATTAATCTAATGCCAATAAAATTATCTAAAAATTTTGGAAAGAAAAAAAAGAACATTCTAAGACCTAAATCTAAACATCTCACCAAAATGGATGGCCTATGTTTATTCGATTAAAAAAATACTTTTCAAGTTGCTTTTTCAAATTTTCCTTTTTTATGATTGCTCATTCAAATGAAAAGAGTATATATATAAAAGTCTTCCCAACGCCTATAGGTGAAAATGAACAGTGATTTCGCAAACCATTATCGCCGTCCAAAGTTCATCGCACGATCACGATTGTCAGGTAGTGTTTTATTTTTTATTTTCTTTTACCAAATCAGAATGATCTGAAAATTAGAACGTATGTACATCTTAGTGAGGCGCACCTAATAAAAATATAAAAAAATAATAATTCGAAAAAAAACAATATTAACCAAAATACCCCCAAAACTTTTCGGGCGTATTTTGATCAATTTTTTTCATATAAAATATTTTTTTTGATATTTTTGGTAGATTCACCTATTTTTTTATGAACACACGCTCTAAATTTCAAGTCATTCCAATTTGTAGAAAAAAAATGAAAAATAAAACACTACCAAACAATCGTAACCGTACAATGAACTTTGGACGATGATAAAGATAGATGAAATCACTGTTCACTTTCGACTATATATGTTTTGCAATATCTTCATATATATATATATA